GAAATGCTTGAACTTGTCAAGGACTTCATTCTCCTTGGATCAACTATCAGTACTCATGGAGCAGCAGTCAAGAAATCAAACGATGCATTCCATTAGGCATATCTGCTTCACGAGACCTTTTTAAAGTGTTGAAGAACAAAGATGTCAGCTTGAGGACTAAGGTGCGCCTGACCCAAGCCATGGTATGGTCAGTAATCTCGTATGCATGTGAAAGCTAGACAGTAAATAAGGAAGACCATAGAAGAATTGATGCATTTGAGTTATGGTATTGGAGGAGAATATTGAAAGTGTGATGGGCTGCCAAAAGAACCAATAGATCCATGTTAGAAGAAGTGCAGCCACAGTGCTCTTTGGTGGCCAGGATGGCCAAACTTCATCTCTCATAGTTTGGACATTGTCAGGAGGGACCAGTTGCTGGAGAATGACATCATGTTTGGTAAAATGGAGGGTCAGAGAAAAAGAGGAAGACCCCCAACGAGATGGATTGGCCATGTCGCAGCATCGATGGAATGAAGCTTGGCAACAATAGTGATGTTGGCCCAGGGTCGGGCAGTGTTTTGTTCTGCTGTGCATATGATCACTATGAGTTGGTATTGACTCAGTGGCACCTAACAATAACAACAACAGCAACAACAACAACAACAACAAAAAGTCATTGTAATCTTCTAGCAACATCATGATAAACGTAGAAAAAAAATTGATGTTTTCAAGGATTTTATTTTACCTAGATCCACAGTCAGCAGCCATGGAAACAGCAGGCAGGAAATCAAATGACATTGGGCAAATAAGACAGACTTGATACCTTTGAATTATGGTGTTGGTGAGGAATACTAGATATACCATAGACTGCCAGATGAGGGAACAGATTTTTCTTGGAAAAAGTACAGCTGGAATGCTTTTTAGAAGCGAGGATGGCAAAACTTCATCTCACTTACTTTGAACATATTAGGAGGCACCAGTCCTTGGAAAAGGATATCATGCTTGGTAAAGTAATTGTTATATTCTGCTGAGTCAATTCCAACTCACCGTGACCCTGTATAGGGTTTCTGAATAAGTGGCTGGTGAGTTCAAACTGACCACCTTATGGTTGAGTGCTTATCCTACAATGCAGTGCCAGTATGGATCAATGAGAAAAAGAAAGACACTTAAGGAGATGAATTGACACATTGGCTGGGACAGTGGGCTCAAACATAGCAATGATTGTAAAAACAGAGTGAGGATGGTATAGCAGCAGGCAGTGTTTTGTTCTGTACATGTGGCTACTATGAGTCAGAACCAACTTGATGGCTCCTAGCAACAAAGCAATCATCATAGTGAACTTCTGCTTTGGATTTAACTCATCTACCGTATTCATCCTCCTGGTGTGGCTCTGTGGGTTAACGCGCCAGACTGCAAAACTGTTTGAACTGCAAGGCCAGTGGTTCAGAGTCACCAGCTGCTCCTCAGAAACCCTGTACAGGGTTGCTATGGGTCGGAACCGACTCTATGGCACCTAACAACAACAACAACAACAAAACCATAATCCTTCAGACGCCACTATTTTGATGGGACTATTATTTGAAGACACCCTAACAGAAATACTCAGACAAGCGTATTACTAAGAAAACTTTTTTATAGCCATCCACTAACTGCAGAAAAATCTTTAAACATATTTTGTAATATGTTTGTAACAAACCCACCTGTTTATGAAATGAAACACTAGTAGCAATACTTTTGACTTTCCTTTGTATGTTTTTTGTGTTACAGCAGTGAATTAGAGAATATGCCTGAGTCTTAAATGATGACAGAATAATGAGCCATTACCATAGTTTAGTGTAGTTGCTGAGTATAATTGAAATGTATAAAATAGTATTTAAGTCTTCTGTAGGTCAAAATAGCAAGATTTTATCTTGTACATGGGAGCATTGTGGCTCCTTAAGATATAAGTACTGGACTTTTAACCACAAAGTTAGTGTTTCAATTCCACCAGCCACTCTGCATGAGAAAGATGAGGCTTTCTGCACCTCCAAAAGATTTATAAAGTCTGGGAAACCCTATA